TGTCTGCCTTCCTCACACTGAAGACCATGACCAAGCGGCTGGCAGCACAGTTCTACCTGTGGCAGCTCAGGGAGGGTGGCAGGGGATGGCCGGGGCCGAGGGGCACAGTGGGGCAGGCAGCTGAGCAGGGGTGATGCTGCAGGACCCCTCCATGCCACACGGCCAGTCCTAGCAGGGAGCATTAAACGGTACTCAGAGCCCCGCTGTGCCTCCACACACCATGGTTTCGAGCCGGGCAGCTCGGTGGCTTGTGAGGTACCAGATCACCCCCCAGGCACGGACCCAGCCTCTCCCTGCCCTGCACCAGTCTGACAGAGCCTGGGGCAGGTGGGAGCACAGGGTTCAGCACCTCCAAAATGCTCACCCCAGGGCTGTGCTTGTCCTTGCTGAGCATCAGCCCTGGCCAGCAAGCACAGAGCCACTCCAACCCCCGCAGACACCAGCCCAGGGCAGCTGCCTTGGGCACAGCCGAGGGGGGGGGAGCCCCGCTGCTCCCTGGGGAGCTCGAAGGGTCTTCCGTGAAGCCATCCCACCTGGAAGGAAGGATGCAGGGAGCTGCAAGGTGCAAGACTGGCACCACAAACCCTTCACAGCCACCCCCAGGGCTAGAGCCAGAGCAGAGCACCTCCTGCTATCTGAGCAGCTTTATTTCATTGTGTCCCTGTTTGCCAGGGGAAGTCAAGGCCCACGGCGATCTGGAAGGTGAAGAAGCGTGAAGTGCTTTAAGCCTCTTGTGCTGAGCATGGGCCAGCTGCTTCCCAGCAAGCTCGAGTTCCCACAGCAGCTCCCCAGCACAGCTCTGCTCGGTCCCCAGCCGGCCAGCGCTGGAAGCTGCAGGTGGCAGGGCTCTGTGCTACAGGAACCAAGAACTTCTGCTGATGCAAATGCTTCTCCAGGAAAGGCAGACCCTAACCCCAGCAGCGCACGCTCAGGCCAGGAGAACTGGCCCACCTCCACCTGGGCTACAGCCATGTCCCCATCGTATCTACCTGGAGCTCTCTCCAGAGGGAAGGGTGCTTGTGGCAGAGCGTTCCCGACGTTCCTAGGCTGCAGCCTCAGTCTTGCCTTTAGGGGCTTTTGCCTGTGAAGTGAACAGGGGCATCTCGGTGTACACCAGAGACAAGGTGACAGCTCAGGCAGGTGGTCGGGCATGGCTCTGCTCCGTTCCATATGACCAGATTCACTGTCCGAGACCCCCACTCCACTCGTGACCTGAGACCAGGCATTAGGAACATCTTTTTTCCTCCCCCAGTACAGGGCGCAGCCCCGGGGCAGTTCACGAGGAGCTGGGGGATCTCTGTCCTCAGCAGCTTCTCAAACCTGGCCAAAGCCACAGACGATCTCAGCTAGGGCTGGCAGCTCTCCTGCTCTGCGGGGTCCTGGCAGCTCTCCTACTGCGCGGGGTCCTGGCAGCCCATACCCTGTGACCCCCAGATTCACCGGGGCTGGGCAGTGCCAAAGCAGGAACCGCACACGGCAACAAAACCTGGCTGCTGAACTGCAGCGCGGGCACTGACACCGCAGGAGGTGCGCCCCGAGGAGCTGCGCTCCCTCCACGGGAGTTCGGAAGAGGGTGAACAGACGTGGAGCTGGGCGAGGTGCCCTCAGGGACTCCTTGCTGTCTAACTGCGGCTCAGGTCGCGGTACCGCTGTCCCTGCAGCCTGGGCACCGGCTGGGTCCCTCTCCGCCGCTCTGCTGCCCGATGGCGTTAAACCTGTGACAGCTTCACCTCTGCCAGGTTCGGTGCAGACCAGACACCAAGCCCGAGAGTCGAAGGCTAAGAATTCTCCACCGGGGTTTTCCCAGATCTTGAGCACTGAGTTTTAACCAAGGGGCAGAAAATAATTAAATCACTCCAACCTCACCTCTCCATGGCCCCATCCTTACCTCCTCGAACTTCTCCTTCCAATAGAAGTCAGCCTTCGCATCCAGGTAGAGCAGCACCAGGTCACAGACCACCGTGGCCTGGAGACAGACAGACGCAGCAGGGCCACCAGCACTGAAACTCCCCAAGCAGTGCCAGGCCCTCTGCCCTGGCTCCCACCAAGCCCTGCAGCCGGCTGTGGGCAAAACTCCAGCACCCCAGCGGGTCCGCTTTGAGCCAGCCTACTCCCGTTAGACGCACCGGAGCTTAGACGTGACCACTGGGCTGCAATGCCCAGACGCAGGGCGAGGGCTGGCCCAGTGGAGAGCCGCCATCGCAGCCACGCAGCAGACTGGGGCGAGCCTGTCTGGGAGGAAGGAGGGGGCAGGAGGGGGAGCCAGGCTCCCCGATACCCTGCTGAGAGCGAAGAGCCACGCAAGTGCTCTACACTGGGCAGCCCTGTCTCAACGACCACCGCGCCACGTCTGGACTGGAGCCGGACACTGGCTCCTTTAGAGTCAGGGGAGAAGCAGAGAGGAGGTGCTCTCTGCTGCTGGCCAGACAGCCGGCCGGAGCAGCCAGTGACGCGCCTTCCCGGGCTCAGCAAACGCCCGGCCTTCATCAGGTGTGCCGGTGACAGTGCTCAGGATTCAGCAGCGCCATCACTGCCAACAATCACAAAGGGGAAAACGGGAGCTAACACCCCGCCAGCCACCTCCCGTCCCAGGCCAGCGGGCACCGACAGAGCCTTGCACCCAGGC